TATTTTGGTTACCATTTGCATGATTATCTATTTTTCCATCTTTTCATTTTCAGCCAAAGTATCAAGTGAGTCTCTTGCAGCTAGAATATAGTTGGATCTTGTTTTCTGATCTATTTTGCTACTCTACATCTTTTGAATGGGGTGTTTAATTCATGTTCACCTAAAGTAATTACTAATAGAGAAGGACTTACTATTGCCATTTTGTTGCTTTCCATATACCTTGTAGTTATTCTGTTCACGATTTTCTCTTATTCCCTTCCTTTGGGTTTCATTGATTTTTTCATAGTGACATGCTTTGATTTCCTTCTCATTTTCCATTGTGCATCTCCTACAGGTATTTTCTTGTTGTTACCATGGGCATTACATTAAACATCTTAGAGTTATAACAACCTAATAAGACAACTTCAATCACATACTAAAACACTACTCATTTACATTTCCCTCCCCAGTTTATGTTATCAATATCACAAATTACATCCTTTTCTATTTTGTATTTATCAACACTGTTTAACATTTTTTATGCTTTTAAGTTCTGTATCAGAATTAAAAAGTGAGTTATGCACACTCAGCCCTCTATATCTATGGGTTCTGTATCCATGGATTCAACTAAATCATAGATCAAAAATACAGTATTTGCAGGATGTAGAACCTAAAGATTGACTGTTTATATCTGTAAGTTCCATACAGTTTACTGTGGGACTGGAGCATCTATAGATTTTGATGTGTGGGAAGTCCTGGAACCAATCCTCTGTGGATACCAAGGGACAACTGTACTATACAACACAGTATTATAAGATTTTGTGTTTGTCTGTATGTGTACATTTATCAGGAGCCTTTATATTTTTGTATGCTTCCACATTGCTAATATTCCTTCATTTCAACTTGAAGGACTCCCTTTAGCAATTCTTGTAAGGCAGGTCTAGTGATGAACTCCTTCAGCTTTTGTTTATCTGGGAATGTCTTTACTTCTTCATTTTTGAAGGATGATGTAGCCCAGATGCAGCATTCTTGGTTGGAAGGGTTTTTTGTTTTGTTTTGTTTCCTCCTTGGCTCTTTGAATGTATCATCCCACTCCCTTCTCGCCTGTAATATTTCTTCTGAGAAATGCACCGATAGTATTATGGAACCTTCCTTATACATGATACGTCACTTTTTTCTTGCTGCTTTCAAGATTATGTCTTTAACTTCCGACATTTCGATTTTTGTGTATGTTGGTGTGGGCCTCTTTGGGTTCATTCTTTGGAGTCCTTTGAGCTTCTTAAATTAGGATATCCAATTCCTTCCTAATATTTGGGAAGTTTTCACCATTATTTCTTCAAGTAAGTTCTCTGCCCCTTTCTCTCTTATTCTAGGACTCCCATAATGTGTATATTGTTCCATCTGATGTTGTTCCACAAGTGTCTTAGGCTTTCTTGACTTTTCTTCATTCTTTTTTCTGTTTCTCTGACTTAATAATTTCACATGATTTGTGTTTAAGTTTTCTCTTTCTTCTGTTTGATCAAGTCTACTGCTGAACCTTTCTAGTAAGTTTTTCAATTCACTTATTGAGTATCTTTAGCTCCAGAATATCTGTTCGGTTCTTTTTTAGTTTCTATCTCTTTGTTGATAGTCTCCTTTTGTTCATGTATTGTTTTCCTGATTTAATTTAGTTGTTCATCTGTGTTCTCTTGTAGTGCCTTGAGATCCCTTAAGACAATTATTTCAAATTCTTTGTCAGGTAATGCATAGATCTCTGTTTCCTTAGGGTCTGTTTCTGTAGGTTTATTTTGATCCTTTGATTATGCCACATTTCCCTGGTTTACTTTGTGTCTTGTTATTTTTGTTGTATTTTGTACATTTAAAGAAACATCCACTTCTCTCAGTCTTTATCGACTGACATGGTACAAGGGAAGACTTTCACCAATGGACCCGGCTGGAGATTCTGGAGGTCCGTCAAACCTTTTCCAAGGATGTATCTTCTCTGGGCTCACGCATGTGATTCCCAAATTAGAGGGCTTTACCGGATTTTCGAGAGCTCCTCATCTCTCCCTCCCCCTAGTGTCCGTCTGTGGTACTGCAGATTCTCCGGCGCTGCAACAAGCTGCGGCGCTCTGGTTCCAAAGGACGCCACTTCTCTGTCAGTGCTGAGAGTCAGGACAGACAGACGCCAGTCCCTCCAGTAGGCCCCTGAAAAGCCAGAACACTGGATGTATATATTCCATTCTTCTCCTCCCCTCCCAAAGAACAAGTCGCGAGCTAGGCGTTTTCTCCCAATTCTGTTGAGCTGTGCCAGCCTCCATCCACAGCGCTGCCAGCTCTCTGGTGCTACCACAAACCACCAAGCTTGCTTTTGTTCTCCACGGCCCCAAGACATCAAAAGTAGTCTTCCTTTATCCGCAGTTTTACTTTGTGTAGTTTGAGCTAGCCATGGTCACCTGTGGTCCAAAAATATTAAATGAAAAAATTCCAGAAATAATTCAAAGGTTTTAAATTGTGCACCGTTTTGTTTTGAGATGGCACCTCATTCTGTTGCCCAGGCTGGAGTGCAGTGATGCAATCTCAGCTCACTGCAACCTCCACCTCCCAGGTTCATGTGATTCTCCTGCCTCAGCCTCCCGAGTAGCTGGGACTACAAGCATAAGCCACCACGCCCGGCTAATTTGTATTTTTAGTAGAGACGGGGTTTTGTCATGTTGGCCAGGCTGGTCTTGAACTCCTGAAATCAGGTAATCCACCTGCTTCAGCCTCCCAAAGTGCTGGGATTAAAGGCATGTGCCACGGCATCCGGCCTAAATTGTGTACTGTTCTGAGTAGCATGATGAAATCTCATGGTGTCCCACTCTGTCCCACCTGCAACATGAATCATCCCTTTACCCAGGGTATCCATGATATATACACTACCTGCTCATTAGTCACTTAGTAGCCTTACTGGTGGTCAGATCAACTGTCACAGCATCACTGTGCTTGTCTTCAAGTAACCTTTATTTTATTACTACTTAATAATGACCTCAAAGTCCAAAAGCACTGGGGCTGGCAATTTGCATATGCCACAGAGAAGTTGTAAAGTGCTTTTTTTAAGTGAAAAGGTGAAAGTTTTCAACTTAATAAGGAAAGACATATGCTGAGGTTGCTGAGATCTATAGTAAAAACACATCATCTATCTGTGAAATAGTAAAGAAGGAAAAAAATTTGTGTTAGTTTTGTCATTGCATCTCACATGGCAAAAATTACAGCCATCATATATGGTGAGTGTTTAGTTAAGATGGAAAAGACATTAAAGTTGTGAGTGGAATACAGAAATGTGTTATGATTGATGGCAATCAGGTTTGGTACTATTCACAGTTTCAGACATCCACTGGGTGTCTTGAAACATATCCCCTATAGATAAAGAGGGATTACTGTATGCAATTTCCTCGTCAGTGCTCCCAGTCAGTAGAGACAGAAATCTGTTCCTCAGTCTGCTCCCTAAAAAGTGAGAATGTTGGATGCACATTCCACTCTTCTTTTTCCCGCCCAAGGGAGAGAAGCCACAAGCTGGGTTTTTCCTACCAATCTCACCAAGCTGTGCCAGACTTGGAAAAGGGCTATCACAGTTGAAACGAAACAGATTTTTAAATCAATTTCAATGTGGCTATTCTACACTTTGAGCTTGCCTGCAGCACTGTGACTTCTTAATTGGTTCTGTAGTTCTCACTGAAATGTTTGGGATGTATGTTGTAGTTAAGTCAATGTCTCTATTGGGAAATAAGGTCTAGGACTTCCTACTCTGCCATCTTGCTGTCGTCATTCCTGAAGAACTCCTTTAATATTAGTAATTCAGTTTTCACTTTTGGTAATGACCTGCTTAGATTCCTTGCTCATTTCTATACTGGAGTGTCTGCCTCTTTATGATTGATTTTTCCAAGTCATTTCTATATTTTGCATTCTGATCCTTTGCTTCTATTTGTTAACAGATTTTAAAAATTATTTTTATTGTGAGCTGCTTTTTAAAAAATCAACTGTGATGCATATTTTGGGAGTTTGGTGTAGGGAGTACATACACATTGCACTGACTGATTTTTAAAGTCCTTTTAAATAAATTTATAATTACATAATTCAAAAGATCCATCAGTCAACATTCACCTCACAACTAAATCCAAGTCTACCTGACATGTAAATAAATAAATCTAAACACTCTCCATATCTCCTATAGTTCTTTTTACATTGCCAAATCCAACATAATGAAGATTTTCTCCAATGTTTTCCTATAATAATTATATATTTAAGGGTTAGGTGCAAAAGATTCCTAAAGGTTGAGGACAAAGACAATTTCTGATAGCACTTGAATTAGCAATAGCTTTACGGGGAAAAAAAAAAAAAAACAAGTCCCTCAGTCCCAGATTCTCTCGGTTAATGATACGTCAAAAATGAAATGCCCACTAATGAAAACTGAAATTCTTTCACAGACTGAAGAAACATTTGTAATGTGATTAATTGCCTTTTAATTTGTCTGAATCTCTTTGATTTGTTTAGTCTAGATTTTGGAATATCATGTTTCTTAAAATAGGGCATATGTTCACATCAAATGTTGCCTTGTAAATATCCTGACTCTGTGAGAGAGTGTGTGTGTGCGCGCACACGTGCGCGTGTGCTGGGAGAAGGCAGAGCCAGGGCAGGCTAGTGTGACAGCACACACTTGCATCTGTGCACATTCTCCTCTTGCAGAGTGAGCAATCCCAGGGTAAAATTAAGAACTGCTCTTTCTTTTGTGCTCCCTACTGTAAATGTAGGGCTTTTTACCTAATGGGCCCACAAAAGACATTGTAGGATTTCTCAGCTCTGTGAGAGTTGAGAAAATTGTGATTTTTAAAAGAGTTTGAAAAAACTCACCAATTTGCTATGTATTCCACTAAAATAATCTTTCTATATAACATACAACCATAACTGAACATCCATTTCCTATGAATTATAAAATTTTCCTCTCATAACCAAACTGATACATTTTGAAACCTGAGAAGAAGGATGTTTAGTTTAACACCTACCGCCTTTGAGTGTTAAATCCATTAAGATGATTCTCTCTGAGTTCAGACGCTAATGATAAAACCATCTGTAAAACAAAATCAGTTGCAGGTTAACTCATGCTGCAAACAGGATTACATCAGTTCTATTCTTCTTGGTGTGAGTGATATTTCCGTTGAGATTCCCCCAACCCCCATCTTCTCACGTTTTACTCTGTCAGAGTGAAAAGGAAGCAGTGCCATGTCACATTTACTAATAACTGGGATTTTATGTTTAATGTCTGTAATTCTGCGTTTCTATGTAAGTAATGAACAACAGACAGGTCACTAATTTCCTAAGAATTAAAACAAAATCCATTTAAAGAAAAATTAGTTTGTTTCTTCATTTAAAATTTTCATTAAAAAAAAAAAAACTTTTTCTTGTATAAAGCTTCCAAAACACCAGAATAGTTGGCAAACATTAAAAATCTCATAACATTTTTTAAAAGAGTTACATCAAGATTGTAAGTTAAAATTTCTTACATTTGGTTACAATGTAAGCCAGAAGAAAACAAAGCTTTAATATTAAGAGGTAAATATGTAAAACTATGTATTGAATTTTCTGTTTTGCTTTAACAAAAAAGTCCAGTCAGGTTATTTCAAACACAAGATTCGTCCAACAGCACAAGACTGTGTTTATAATAGCTAAGAAAAGCTCCTCTCCCAAACATCTCTGAGTGAATACGCGAGATGTGTTCCTAGAAAGAGAGGCTGATTGGTTGGTTTGGTAAAACCCTTCCTGATTTCCTTCTTTCTCATAACTTCCTATCGCACGTTTCTCCCTTACGTGGCCATACGACTGCCCAAGGTAAGAAGAGATAAACGAAGAAAAGTTAAATGTCTCTTCTGGAAGACTGAAATATTTCCATTGACTCTTTTTGCTGATGGCACATTCAGCATTAAACATTCCAGAAGTGATAAATTTTAAATACTCACATTTTTAAGCAGACCGGGATAGTAATCTATAGGGGCATATCCAAGACCCTGAGTGAAAAGAGCAACTTCTTTATCAAATCTGAGTGCTGAAAGTATATGAGATAATACACCCTAAAAAACATAAACAGAAAAAGTCAACTTCTTTAAAAGTGAATACAAGTGCCTTTTAGGTACAATACCTACAATTTATTTGCAAATGGGAGTGGTCTCTATGAAACAAAAAAATCTGTCAAAGTACCCAATTTACTTTGATTCAAAGCGTAAAAGAGAAATGTTAGCATTAAAGTTAATACATTAAAAAGAAGTCAAGTTAAACAAACATTGACAGTGAAAACGAAAATATATATAATGAATGAGCAGTGCTTTACTTATATTAAGAAAGGAATCTTTATTGCTTTTAAACTCAGTAAAATATGTTTAGCAGCGATGATAAGATCATTTCTTTTTTTTTGTTTTTTGAGGTCAGCTGGGCAATGTGCCGATGTCACACAAGGTTCGAGGGTGGCACATCTCACACACGCACGTGAAACACCCAATCGTGATCATGCTCACAAACTACAAAAGGATCCAGATAATAGAATTTAACATAAGATAGAGAACATATCACAAATCAGTAGGGAAAGGGCAGATTATGTAATAAATGGTGCCTCAAAAACTATTTGTAAAAAGAAAAAAAGATTCTCACCGGGTATTATTCATCAAAATACACTCCAGTTTAATGTAAAGTAAAGAGATAAATGTAAAAATGAAATAATACACAAGAAGAAAATAAGAACATTTTTCAGGTGTCTGAATGAGAAAGAACTCTGAGAACTGAAAATCCTGGGAGAAAATTAACAGGGAAGAGGTTTGGCTGTGCTCAATAAAAATAAAACCTTGTGTTTACCAGAAAAATAGTATGAGCACAAACTAAGAAGAATGTTAACAACAAACAGCACAGATTCTATGTATGTTATCAAATTAATGTACAAAATAAATGACAAACACTAAGAGCATAACAATGCATATGAATAGATAGTTCACAAGAGAAAACACAAATGGCTAAGAAACACATAAACGAATGTTCGTCCTCCGTAATCAACAAGAGTAAGACACCCGTATGGCACTTTCACTTAAGGAGTTCAAGTTTTTACACACGTGAATAGCTAATGCTGTACGGGGTTCTACGAAACAGGTTTTCTGTGTGAGCTCCTGGAGGGATGGAAATAGGGTCTCCCACACAGAGTGCAGTTGTGAATGGCACGAGGGGCCCATGAAGTGTCAGCAGATGCAACGCAGCCCAGAACCCATCACGAGGCCTGGACTTCCAGGGGTGTGTCAGGCTAGAGGTTTGTCGCCCGAACAAAGACAGATTACGGGTTAATAGAGGCCCTGCCTTATAGAAAGCAACTTGAAAAAAACATATTAAATGTCTTCAAAATATTCAGAACCTTTGATATATGTGGCATACATTTAAGGAAATAAACGCAAGTATGATGACAGGAACTATGCTCAAAGATGTTTACTGTAGTGGTTATTTCTCCTATAGTAAAAATTATCTAACAGCAGGGAATGATTAATATCCTTATGCAGTGGCTCACTGTAAGCCACTAACATGTTTATAAAGGGGCCAGGCATGGTGGCTCACACCTGTAATCACAGCACTTTGGAAGGTCGAGGCAGGCAGATCACTCGAGCCCAGGAGTTCGAGACCAGACTGGGCAATATGGAGAAACCTGACCTCTACAAAAAAATACAAAAAATTAGCTGGGCATGGTGGTGCACACCTGTGGTCCCCGCTACTCAGGAGGCTGAGGCAGGAGGATCGCCTGAGGCAGGAGGACCGCCTGAGCCCCAGAAATTGAGGCTCTGCACTACAGGCTGGGCGTTGGAGTGAGACCCTGTCTCCAACGAAAAGAAGTTTATGAATAATTTTAATAGTATTTAAAATGGTTATACTATTAAATGAAGAAAGATGTAAAATGTCATACTCAGAAATGATCTCATCAATATAAAAATAATCCATACATAAGAGTGGAAAAACAATGGAAGAAAATATCACTGTCTGAGTCCGTCTGTGTTGCTAGAGCAAAATACCTCGGACGGGGTCACTGACAAGAGCAGAACTTTGTCTCAGTTCTGGAGGCTGGAAGTCCAGGGTGGAGGCTTCCAAGGTGATGCCCTGTTGCTGTGCCCTCTAAAGGGGACGGACACTATGAATGCTGTGTCTTCATATGGCGAAAGGGACACAAGGGCAAAAGGGCCCAGGGCACTCTCTCCACCTCTTATAAAATCACCAATCCCATTCATGAGAGCTTTGCCCTCATGACTTAATCACCCCCCAAAGCCCCTCTTAATATTATCACATTGGTGATTACGTTTCAACACATGGATTTTAGGGAATATATTTAGATCACAGCTATCACCAAATGTTAGCAGTTTCTAGGGTGGTGCTAGAGACCCATAATAGTGCCACCCTAGATACTGTTAAACATTTATATTATTTCATACATATATATATGTGTGTGTGTGTGTGTACATATATATATTTTTTCTTCTTTCTACTTTAGTATGTTTCCTTGCCTCCCATACATGTATGTGCCTCTTTTAATACCAGGAAAAAAATATTTTTTGAAAAAGTTTTATTTGGAAATACTCGGTTTTTTTAAAAAGTCCTATACTGCATTTTGTGGTAACACATTACGAGATAAAATGAATTTGCATCTGTGCATATAAATGTATGTATGTAACTTCATACACAAATACTTGGAGATGACAGTCTAATCTGAGGTGGAGGCTAAGGGTGCCTCAGTGATGGGCAGTAGGCTCCATGGACCCGGACGACAAGCACGTGGCACACATACCAGTGACACTCTGGGTGGTTCCACTATCATGGTGGTCATTTCAATTTCATCATAAAATATCTCACACATCCAAAAAGACACAAAATATTATGTCAAATTCCACAAACCTTCAAGCTTCATCAGTAAAGCATTAGAAATACAGAAGCCTTCTATGCCCTCTGCCCTTCCTCACCATGATTCAACAGCAGTCTCTACCCCTGGGGGAAACTCTACCCTCAATCTGGGATGCAGCCTTTTGTGAGGATCATGTACTTTCTCCCTGTGAGCTCAGACCTGCCTCCGTATCCTTAAAAGAGAATCCAGGCAACACTCCTAAGTCATGTTAAGTGGAAACCTGCCATTCCTACATTATATCCTATCTACAGTTTTCAAATTAGAATTGCAAGTTAACAAAGTAGCTTTAAAACATTACTTCTCAGTAGACGACGTTCACGATTAATAAAAACAACAACAAAACCCCCCAGCAGTGTGTACTACATGATTTACAAAAAAATGAATCCACTGGAAAGGGGGAAAAACAGGAACCTTACAGGGCTAGAGTGAAGCTTTTCTAAGGTAGAGAGAAGGATGGAGCCACTTGCTTGTTATTGTTTTTCCCTCTTTCAGTTCAAATCTGCCCCAAATACAGAAAGCAAACAGAAGCTGACCACAGCCCCAAGGGAGTTCGTCTCCATGTTGGTGGTGGTGGTCTTTTTCAACACCAAGGGCAACCTGGGAGAGAGAGGGAGGGAGCGGCTGTGGCTGGGCAGGCAGAGTCAGGGAGCTCGGGTACAAGCCAGCGTGCCATCTGTGGAGGGCGATGGTACTTACCACCAGCCGCGCTTACTGCTGGGCTCCACTGAACTTCTGAAGGGAGAAGGTGGGGCCTGCACAGCAGGGAGAGCGCTTGGTGCTCTTGGCAAGCCAGTGTGGGGCCTGAACCCCCAGCGGGGTGCAGGGCAGGTGTTCTGGGAAAAGGGAAAGCCCGGCCAGGCCTGGCCAGCCATATGTCCAATCCACACGGAGGTGTCTGAATCAGACTCAGGCAGAGCAGGAGGACTCGGATTGGAAACCAGGCGGTCTCCAAGTCGGCAGCAGTCTGGGTTTTCACGGAGCAGGTCAGTCTGATGCTAGGTGAGGGGAGGGGAGGGCAGTGTCCGAAGAATGCAACCTTCTACTCAGAAACCAGACTTCTGCATTCTATTTAACACACATTTAAAGCACTTCCTACACACCAGGGGCTGTTCTAAGCAGATTACAAGTAGCAACTCATTGAATCTTCACAGCCTATGGGTAGGTAGTTACTGAATCTGGGTTAAAGAGGAGGAAATCAAGACAGTTGAAGCAGCCTGCCCAAGGTTAGTTATTTACTCTACGGCCAGACCTTATAATGAACCTCCCTACATCCACTGTCCATGAGACTGTTGGGATAGTTTTTAGCAATGCAAATCTGAATGCTCTCAGTCTGAGACCCTTTCGGCTTCCAGTTACTCTTACTGTGAAGCCCACGTTTCTCAGAGTGAAGCAGCCTGGCCCACCACCGCACCCCACACCCAGCTTCACTGCTCCTTACTAGCCTGTCTGCGACCCTGGAGGGCCACAGGCTTTCTGGGCCATCAGGACTTTAGTATGTCCGATTCTCTCTGCCTGGGGAGCTCTCCTATGCCCCTCACTTGTGAGAAGTGACTTCTTGAAGGAATTCTAACAACTGTGACAACTAAAATTTACCAAGTGCTTACAATGTGTGAGGCACTATGTTCTCTAAGTATAGCATCTCACTGAAAACCCCAGGTTCAGTTTTTAATCAAATTCAATTAGGCAAAGTTTCAATTAAGCCACCCATAAACAGATGGCTACTGTTACTATACAATCCACCCTCAAACAATGAGAGTGCAAGGCGCTACAGACCCAGTTGGGATGGAAAGTAAGGTAGTATGCAATTGAAGGAAGCCAGTTTTGAGCAGTAACAGCTAAGGGTCAGTTAAGATTGTAGAGTTAAACAAAGCCATGCCCAGGCTTCCCCCTAACCCACAGCCTCCCAGAAGCACTCACACCCTGGGCCTGGGACCAGCTCACGGAAGGTGACTTCCCAATACTGCATGAGCTCTGTCTTGACATTTGATTTCAGAGGCTGAGATGAGAGATCGTAAATAATTCCTAAGTAATGTTTAAAATAGCCACAAATAGTTCCCTAGATACTACAGTCATGTATCACTTAACAACTGGGGTACATCCTGAGAAATGCGTCGTTAGGCAGTTTCTTGGCATGCGAACATCACAGAGTATACT